TGAAGAAAACTGGAGCCCACACTGAGCCGTTGCAAAGCTGAGACAAAGCAAAACAAAAGCTCGTTGGAGCTGCTGTGACTCAACTTTGAACAGTCTTGTCCTTTGCTAAACATACCATCGAGGCGTTAAGTTCCGAAATATCTTCATTCCAAAGAGAGGTCCATGAGTGTCTCCGGCTCCCAACTCTACCTGCGTAAACACAGACAGCGAAAAACTCTCCAGATCTTCAAACATCAACATGTTTCCTACAAGACAGGTAGAAAACTGTTCTGCGACAACATAACCAGAAACAGGAAGAATGAAGCATACCTCACCCCACCCTTTAGTTGAGGTGACTCTTCTCAAAGCCAAGTTAATAGTGCCACCCCCAGTCCCATTGTGGGTAGACAGGGAGCCAGACAAAATGGCTGTGTCTTTTGTAGTGAGAGGAGCCTGCAAAGAAACGTTGACAGGAAAAACAGGATCAAACATCTTCCTGACAGCCAAAGACAGACAACTAATAGGTCAGTCATGTACCTCTATAGATTGTGATATATGCATCCTGTTGATTTCTATGTGTGGCACGCCTCCCACCATATCCTCATAGTCTTCTTCATAATGGTCAAAGAGGTCTGTGGCATCAATGCCCACACTTATCGTTCCCTGTAACGTGATTATAGATTAGTGTTGCACACAAAGGAACCTACAACAGATAAAGTGAGGCTTTTCATCTTAGTGTAAACACACCTTTGGATTGGTCCGTTGCTGAAGCCTTCTCTCCTCTCGTTCCCTCTGAAGGCGTTCATACTCTTCCCGAATCTCAGCAGGACTTCTTTTTCTCTCCACCACCTTGAAGAAGAGGACAAGAACTGAACAGGCAGTACAAGCAATAACTAAGTCCTAACTAACTTGGAGAAAAAGTGATGCACGGTCGTATCATGCAATTTAAAGCTTCTATTCTAATGAAACCATCTTCATATTTCTCATTAATAAATATATATGTCAAAATGTACTAAAGTCGCAAAAAAAAAAAAAAAAAGCTCATACCGAAACCCTGTTCATAGTTCATTTTACTGAACGGTAGCTATCCTTCTTTGCAATACAAACCAACTTCTGCAGGGAATTCACTTAAAGTGGAAAATAAGTTTTGTAATGTTCTTTAACGTCTATTATTACTGAAGTTGTTTATATCTAAAAATCCTAAATAAATTTTTGGTGCAAGTACAAATCTACAATCTTTCAAAAAAGACATGATTTTCTGTTGGTATTTGGACGACTTTAGATGTGGCAAACAATGTACAAGTGGCATTTAAAATGAAATTTAAAATGCAGTATTTTAAAAATTTATGAAGATATTGTCATAGTGTTCTCAGTACTTTTCTTGCCTGTAGTCTGACTATTGTTTCTAGATACATTTTTTTGCCCTTTTGGAGAGTTGTTGCCACTAAAACATCTATAATACTTACCTCCCATCCGTCCACATCGAGCCCTCGCTTGCCATAGATATCGTAGATAGCTCGTGCCTGTGGTTCACTAAGCACTAGAACAAGATAAATAAATAATTGAAGACTTGCTTTAAAAGCTTTAAAAGTAAGCATTTCTGAATTACATAAAGTATAAGTAAATCAAAACAGTCAAATTTAGGTTAAGCTTGTTTAGGCTAAGCTGACGAGAAAATACTACTGTAAGATTGACCTACCTTCATAAGCTTCGTGTACAAGGTTAAAAAGAGCCTCAGCCTGTCGCTTTAGCTCAGGATCGCGGTGTTTGTCAGGATGATATAGCATGCAAAGGCGCCGGTAAGCTGCTTTCAACTCCTCTTGGGTGGCCTGAAGCGGACCACAGTGTAAGAGCATAATGAGACTTTTGATCTAAGTAACATCTTAGTGACACCAATAAGTAGCAACTTTGCAACCTCAAGCTTTCAGTTGAGTTTTTCCCGGATAGCATGCCTTGGCTGGTTCGTATCACATGTATGTAATTAGAAACATATTACTAATGCATAATTCAATATTTTGATACCAATGTTGTGTATTGAGCTTTTCAATGATAGCTTGCTTTAAAAGTAAGACTTTTGGTATAATGATGATCAAAACTGTTGTCAAGTTAGCAGTAATACATTAGCTTTTTATGTTAGACACTATTTATCTAACGTAAATAACACTTTCATTTTTTGTTTTTGCAAAATTATTTCTTCATAAGACAAACATAATTTGCTTTTTGTGTTGATTCTAAGTAATGTAATAGGTTATACTATGAAAGAAATGTTAGGACAGAATTCATAATAATTTAAAATGTAGTAATCTAATCTAAAACCGAATTTAAGTACTGAATCTACTGAAACTCACCTCGTGTGTTTACTTTCTGGCAGGACATCACGACCATGTGGTCGCCACGACCATGTGGTCGTGATGTCCTGCCAGAAAGTAAACACACGAGGTGAGTAATTACAGTGTTATTTCTTAAAGAATCACATCTCTAACCATAAAGAACACAATGACCATATGTCAAACCTTAATCTGGTTTTGTAAAAAAAAATAGCATTCACTTGAAGCTAACCAAATAAAGTACCATGAACGAATACTTTCTGACACCAGAGATAAACTATCACATCCACTATGTAAGCTCATGCACTGCATGTTGGAGCTTAACAGCTTGAGTTGTAGCACTAGCCAGTTAGCACATCCATGATAACTGAAACTATCTACTGAATTAGCCCCCAGATTATCATAGTAAGAGGAAACTCTTCTACTTTACTTCAACGAAACATAATTCACGCTGACCAAACTTTAAGTCAATACAAGACAAGACTCCACGAAGAGTCTTGTTCGGCTTCTAACTCAAGTGTCAGAGCACACTAATCAATGTCGTGGGTCACAAGCTAGCTTACCTTGTCACATACATCTCATTCAACAAGCAACTGTTGGCTATCAGCTTTAGAGAAACTAAAGAATACTCAATGCATCAGTACAGAAATTATTTGTGTCACGAGTGTACCCCATACCTCTCTGCGAACGTTTAAAAGGGCATAGTAATCATCATTGCAGATCTCATCGTCGTCCAAGGCAGACGCCATGTTTACGCCCGGTCATTTCTACTTCGTGCCGTTCCCCTCGGAAAAAAGGCTCTCTTGCGCTCTCTGTCGCCCTCAGGTGGCAGGAGCAACGAAAGAAATTAAAAAGGGAAAGCAAATTCACACATGCAAGTCAAACAACTTTTTCACATGTCAGTTCGTAATCAGGCGCGCTTATACAGAAAACAGGACAGTTCTCTACTGTTGAACCTGATGTTTTTAAAGCGATAAATAAAGCAGAAAATATTGGGGACCGGGGGAGTTCTAATGACGTCAGTGTTCAATAAATACATTTCATATTTTGTGACACTTAAAGCAGTGACTGACAGGTTTCAGACCAACAAAATCCGTAATATTGGGTGTATACACATATTTGTATTTACCTTTTCCTTTCTTAAAATCTCTGCAATGACTTATATTTGGTAATGCAAGCAGCAAAGGAGCTGTTCTTTCAGCACCACCACCTAAAACTGAACTGCATACATCACCCTTTAATACAGAGCTTCAGCTATACACAGACAGACAGACATATATATATATATATATTCTGTGAAAACATATTCAACTTCTTCCTCTTGGTGGCCTTGCATTATTGTAACAGTCTTGTTTCACTACAGTTCACATAGTTTCAGTCCCTCTCACTGTCTTCCGCAGCCTCTGGACTCCACAACCAAACGTCAGAACTCCACCAAATGTTTCCACCACTCCATGGTTGTCCACAACAACTCCATCATCCTCAAGTCACCATCTGCTTGCCCAGTCTCCAACACTCCCTGTTCATACACACAATATTTTACAAACCATCTGTTCGACTCCGACTGGACTCTCCTCCAGAATCCAAGCCTTTAGCAGATTCTCCGTTTAGATCCATCTCTCTAGTCAAAACCATCCATCTTTATGTTCTGCGCCTTTTAACTCCTACATTTTCCTCAAGATGGTGCAGAACTCAGAGGGTCAAATTTCACATCATTGTACATTTTCTTTTGTTTTACCTTTTCATTCTGTGTCCTGTTTGTCATTCTGCGTGTGAAACATGACAATGTAATCATACTCTCACCAGCTTCATCCTGCCTCTTCAAGAGGTCTTTAGTTTTTGTTCAGGGGTGAATGAGCACACATGGACCTAATATGTTCTCCTCTGGGAGAACATATTTTTCTGAACTGCATAAGGACTGGAAATTCCCATTTTGTTTCTTCTTGCATATAATTGTTTGAAGATGAAAGTGGCAGTTTTTGGTTATCTGTCAAATGTACTCATGGATGAAGCAGACTTGTGGTCATCAAGAAATCCTTTCCAGTGACAGCCACAGTTATGACACCATTTAACTCATATTTGGAATAAACCAATCAGAAGCTTAAAAAGCTCTGGCATCATTAACAGGGATTTCATAAGTTCTGAAATGGCACAGTGATATGTTAACTGCTGAACTCCACAAAAGTGATAAAACTTCTATAAAGCAAACTCTACATTTATTTGGGGAACCTGTAGAAAGAAGAAATAGGAAAAAAATAGTCTAGTTTAATGTCAGGCCGATAGAAATTTGGAATTTCGATATTCGTCATTGTTTTATGTTGACTGTAGTTTGTTCACGTTTAAGCAACGTGAATATGTTTCTAGTGAAGGGGTCCTGCCCTGTTACTTCATGACACTAACGAGTTTGGTGTCACTTTGGATTGACAACCTACAATCTCAAAATGAAACATTCAAACTAGTTTTGACTCAATAGGATGTTCAAAAAGCATCGGATATATACTTTTATTTATTTTTCTTTCACCCACAGTTTTATTAAAAGCAGCTTAATTCTGAAATGCCTTCAAAACACAATCAATAAAGGGGAAAAAAAATCCCAGCTGGAGGTGCCAAGGTGAGGAGAGATGTTGTTTTTCATCTCGGAGCCCCTCCGTCACTCACCGTCTTGCAGCCAATAGTAAGTTCGCCTTGGTCGGACCGACTCGCCGCGTGCCGCTCCGGTCCCTCCTCGTGCTGTCCTCGCCGTGCACGCGCGTGGTACCCACGGTCGTGAGGAAGGAGGAGGATGTTGCGCGTGAAGGGGAAATGGCTGCCGAAAACAAGCCGGAAGGTAAGAAGAAATATAATGGGATTAAATTTAGCAGTGTGACCGCGGTGTGGTGTGGGGGTATTTTTTACGGAGCGGCCGCAACTCCGCGCGGGGATGTCACGAGCGTGAGGACGAGTGGAGAGAAAAAAAATTTTCGGCGGAGAACGGCGCCGCTGTTTTCCTCCGAACACACAGAGGCAGCTGAAACGTGGAGACATCACTAGCCAGCTAATATTAGCTCTCATTGGAGCAAGCCGCTGTATTCCCATCATAGCCCACATTATTAAAACAAGAAAAGAAAGAAAAGAAAAAAAAAAAAAACACGCCACGGGGACAAATTGTCAGCGTGGTTAAAAGTACCGCGTGAACCGTTTATTGTGCTCCGGATTCTTGTCAAATCGACGTGCAGTGCAAGTTGTTCCCAACAAGGCTAAGTTAATGACAACATGTCATCGGGATCGACCAACTTCTTCTCTTATTTCAGAGCTCCGTCCTGTTAGTTTATCCTTTTCTCTAACCGCTTGTTTTGGCTTCCCTGAAATAATAATTAAGACACGCCTGTTTTAAAATATGTAAGTTGGAGAGGGTCGTTCAGTTCTTCCTTGAAGCGCGAGCGTTTTTTTTCTTTCTTGGCATTCAGCGAACTATGATCTATTTTTAAATAATGTTTTTCCAATACTTTCTCTTTTTTTTGCCCTACATTCGGTCTGAAACAAGAGTATGAAACCATTGTGTTGCCTTGAGATGCCCTGTCGCGCTTGAAATGCCATCACACCACAAGATGAAGAGGGAGGATGGAGAGTAGGATTTCCAGCAGCCTGCCCATTACATTACTTTACACATAGGACAGAATGATGACTTTCCTCCCCCTTCTCAGCTGATTTCACACGCTTCGCTCACTGAGAACCAGATGCACCAGGCTTAATTATTTCCTTTTTAGTGGAATATTTTATTACAACTCATATGCATGAGAGATCTATGCCCATTCAGAAAGGCCCATGGATTTTTTGGGTGAGTAATTAAATTACGCCTGCATGAAAATAAAGGGGACGATAGACTAAAACGCAGCTCTTCGTTCGGACTTGTACTTTGGCTTGGTTGAGTTATCTAATTGCTCTTGTTATCGCAACAAATTTCAATATATTAAAATGCATCCTCGAATTTACGTGACAGCATTGGCGTGTTGAATAGCTGTTTATGCCCTTTTGGCATGCAAATCTCTGTTATTATTAACTTTTTTTGTGAGTCCAATAATGTTCCTGAAACACCATGTTCTTTTTGGATACGATAAAACTCTATTTTTATGTTTATTTATGTTAATAGCCTCAGGGTGCAGCAAAAAGAGTTTCTATACTTTCAAACTAGCTGCATAATTTAAGATGTTGCACGTTAGGTCCAGCTGTTTCCAATCAGTTGTTAATGTTTTATTGTGTTTGACTATTAAAAAAAAAAAAAAACAGAAAAAAAAAACCCAACTCTGCCAGACTTAGCGCCAGCAACTTCGAAGAAAAATTCTTTTTATGCATAATTACCAGTGTTTTAAATTGTTTTGTTGTTCTTAAAAAAGGTAGAGATTAAACACTGGTTTTAGTTGGTTTGGATGTCAGTGTGCCAACCGACAAAAGGAGTCCCACCAGGGGGTGCTATTGAGCTAAGGAGCCTCTCATATCTTTGGACTCTGTCTGGGGCTTGGACAAAATAAAAAAAAAAAAATGAAGACATCTGTTTTGTGATAGTAATGTCTTGACTGTGTTGTAGAGTCTTAAATCTTTTCCTAACATTAAATGAACTAAACACGCAGGCTGTATCTGAGAGTCGTAGAGTAGCTTCTCCAATACAAGGAGCTTTTCACTGAAAACCGAGGCTTGAAAGTCCCATTGCTGAGCCGGTCAAGTTATTTTCAGTGTTCCTGTGAGGCCGGTCAGTGGAAAAAGGAGGAGGAGGGTGGAGAGCATAGGGAAAGAGGGAGATTACTTCACACCTTTATGTAAATGCCATGTCGTCTCATGCAGACTTGATCTTCACAGCTTTTATATAGAGCTGTCAGAAGTCTTTGCTCCCACTTTTTCTTCGTTTTGTGCTCTTCGTTAATGCAGGGCATGAGTTTTACTGCAGTTTTTGTGTAACGAGGACCTGTGCATTTTCTTCTCAGCTATGAAATCAGAATCCCCCCCCCTACTTCCTTTTGTCATTGTGACTTATGGGCAGTGCTGATGGCTCACACTTGTTTGGCAGGTCTCACGAAAGGTCCATAACAAGTGAGAGGCCATGACCTGGACTTACTCTGTGGTGTAATGTTTACATCCTGGTGTATTTCTCTCAAGTCTCAAGGCCCTGGGGGTAGTTTTACTCCCCTTCACACACCTAAAAATCTCAGTATGTGCGTTACTTTAAGCATAAGGCAAGGAGGGCACTGAAAGGACAGGCTTGATATGCCCCACAATGACACTACTCTAGAGAAAACTACAGCCTGCAGTCTTAAAAAATCTGCCGGGTCATTGCCTTATACAAATATTTCAGTACAAGAGTCATATGTGAAGCAAGGGGATTTGTAAAGGCAAGCCTTGAGATTTTATTTAATCGCTAAAGTTGAATCTTCACACAGTCTGATTAAAAAAAAAATTAGACCAAAATTTGTAAGCTCATATTCATTCAAAAGAAGAAAAATGCAAATACAGGGATGGAGAAATTGAAAAAACAGTCAATGAAGGTGGGCGATTTTTAAACAGACCTTATTTTTTTATTTTTAAGCAGTGCAGTTTAATGCGCTCCTTGATGTTATCAGAATGCAACGTGAAGCACCAGCAAAACATCAAGCAAGCACACAGTGAGCCCTCAACTTCCAAAAAATGCTTGTGCAGCAATGATACAAACATTTCTATGCTGTTTTGAAAAAGAGGCATGAATTTTTGAACCTTGTGTTGTAGAACAGACTGTTTCTTCCCTTGGCCTTGTGTTGAATCAGTGAATCAGGTGCTGGGTTTTCTGCTCTGCCTTTTAATTGGATCAGTGAGGTATGGATGGATGTTAGTCGGGCAGTGTCTGTGGTTGCTGAGACGTATCGCTCCTGATTCCTGCACGTAGCAGACCTTTACGTACTGCTTTGCACGGTCTCAACTGATTGATTGTATTGAATCATTCAGTTTACCACTTAAACAATAAGAAATGTTACTGCCTGTATCAAAGAGGGTCACAGCTACGCTGACCCTTACTACTTATTTATTTCCTTGTAGGATATAAAACATTTCTGAGGGCAACAAAAACGTGATTTGTGTGTTTAATACAGTTCTCTGGAAATTGTTTGCCTCTATGATGAAAAAGTGTTAAAAGTCTTGCAATGATGTTTTATTTTACTGTATTAGTACAATATTACAATAAAAAACGTTTAAAAATCCAACCTTTAATCTGAGTGAATTGATGTACTGGAGGAAAGAATTTAAATAGCACCACACGTAATCTGATGCAACCTTTGAAGAAATGAGAATTTACATTGTCACTTACATTGCCACTTACTATTAAGTATTAACACAGATTGGATACTTAACATGTGGGAAACAAAAAGGAGTTTTCCCAAATATTGTATTTCTGTTTTAACCACCCACAGCATCTTTTGAGGATAGAATTAATTGTAACCTCATTTGACTGATGCAGATGGTTTCAGTGAAAGTCCCAGTATATTGTGGGAATCTTGAATGTTTACATTTGTGATGGTAAAACAAAAGACTTTTTCCTCACATTCCTTTCAACCAACTGATTGCCATATAGAAAGAGTATTACGGTTTTTGTGGGGACCTGATGATGTCACTTGATGCTACAGTTCTTCATACAGTGAGATCTTGAGATTAAAAAAAATACTTTCTAGAGCTATTCTTATTAATTATTAATTCAAAATCCCTAAAAACTCAGATTATTGTTCAAATTAGTAAAAGATACATTGTGAAAAAATGCTATAGTTACATTTATTGTATTTGTTGAAAAAAAATAACTATTTCTGAATAAAAATTGCTGAAAAAATAACTATTTCATAAAATGATTTCTCTCAAATTGAATAAATGTGCTCAAATAGAAGGTACAATTTTTCAGAAATGTTTTGGAGTATTATACAGCTGCAATAAAATGTTTGTCTTTCTAGCCATTTTCCAACTTATTACTAAAGATGCAAACTCACGCACTTTGTCTGTATGTATTTAAATATTCTGTGTTGTTTCTGTGTATTTTTTGCATGGGGATTGTGCTTAGTTGTCACAGGCTGGAAGAATGCTACTTTTCCTCAAATTTCTCTACTTTTCTCTTTGCCTTCTAAAGGACTGAAGAAAGTTCGTAATCCGGATCGAATGTACAGATCAGCAGTGTGTTATGCTGGCCATGGTCCACCTAAGAGTATCAGTGATGACACAGAGACGAACAGTAAGAGTCAGTTATTAATACTGCATTCCTGCTGCAAGTCGCCACTAGCTGGCCAATCTATTATTCATTCATCAATTCATTTATTTACTTCTTGATTTTCATCCATGCCCCCTCCCTTGTTTTCTTCTCCTCCAACACAACACCTCCTGCGGCTGCTCTGTTGATTGAAGTGTCTGCTTTACAGGATCATGCTGTCAATAGCTGAAGTGTTGTCGTTAACTAAGAGTGATTGTTTCAGGTTGAGGGCATGGGATCAGGACCTGAGCAGACCCTCAGAGAGAAAGCTTGAGCCCTGAGCCATCAATTATGATTCTGTCTTTGCCTTTTGTCTGCTTTTCTCAAAGCTTCCTTTGATGACGAGGAAGCAACAGAGCAAATTAAAAATGTTGGCAGGTTAAACAGCATAAAACTAAACTATTCATGCATTTCCTAAACGTTAATATTCTGTGATATTCAAATTGAATTATTATTTGTCTTCTTGTCATTACATTTTGTGCTGTGTGAAAACTGCAGACCGGGAGTAAAGAACAAAGATGAGAGAGAGAGAGAGAGAAAAGAAGCATCACAGAGGATTTTTATGACTTGTAAAAACTAGCTTCTGAGGGAACTGCCTGACTGCACTCACAGTTCTGCACACAGTCGCTTTATTTCGTCACAACCAAAACACATCAGTCAGAAATATAGGCCAAAGTCTTGACTTTATTTTGGTTGACTTTCTTTTTGTTTCTTTTTAGAAAATATGTCTGATCTTTTTTAGCCTCCTGTCTGTTTCCCACATTGGAACTGTCCGCCTCTGTGAGGCCGATTGTTTCTCAGCAGAAAGGAGTCCCTTTTACTCTTAATGAATACACCATCCCCTTCACTGCTGGAAGACCGTGTTGATCTAGACTAGAGACTGCGTAATTAAGTGTGCTCATGTATTGTCATTTCTAAATAGAGAGCATGAAATCACACCAACCCCTTGTTAGGCTCTGTGCTTCACCAGTGATAACTGCCACTGGGAGAGCTCCACAGCACCACATTGTTTTGCTCTCTTTAACCGAGAATGTCTTAGAGATTTAATGGCAGGGGAGCGCTTGTGCAGATCTATGAAACAGGGTTGTAGACTGTAACAGATACATTGCTGATATACTTTTGTGTTACCCCCTCATGTGTGACAGCTCTGACTGACAATATGTTTTGCCAGTCTTGCTATTTTCTCTCATGTTATTGCACGATATTACACTACCCTGTCCCCCATGTCACACACTCTGTTTAATGTGTTCAGCCTGGAGGTTTTTTCTGCCTACCAAGGAGGGGGGACAGTCAGAATGCAGGCAGGCAAACCATTGATCTGAGTAATCGTCTGAGTAATTGTGGGAGTAGTTATGATACAGAAAGAAAGGGCTCTTTTGTGCACGCATTTGTAAGCAAGAGGGAGAAGAGTGAAAAAAGAACAAGAGGAAGAGAGAAAGAGAGGTGGAGAAAAAGAGACCTCACCTCTGCTCTCCTTGAGATGGGATTTTTATGGATGGGTGAGCTCACTGAGGGCTGAGAACACATAAAGAGTCATTTTCAGTTTGTTGCAGGCAGTTAACCATGTGTGCATGTTTGTTGAACTTCCAGTAATAGGCCGAGGTTTTTTTTAACTTTTTTATTTCATTATTTATTTTTAGCAGTTTGACTTTTTTTGGACAAGTCTTTCCTTATTATGCCACATAAATCTACAGTGTGCCCCGTGTTCCCACTGGTGAAGCATTAAAAGTGCAGCTGAAAACAACAGCCCCCCAAAATACTACTGCACATGTTGCTTCTTGTCTAGTTGCAGAACAAATAAGAGATGATGTCCATTGAGATTCTCAGAAATTTCTTTATTGCATGTATCCAGTAGTGAAACCCCCCCCAAAAAAACTCCCCTCACATCTTTTCCAACAGCTGTTGTGCACATTGCAGGTCAAACACTCATCCTAGATGCTATCTCCAGAGGCCATGAACTGTTCTCTTTGTTTTGGTTTGCTTTGTAACATCACATCATGAAGGCTTACTTGTCAGAGACTTTTTGTCTCTTTTACACTGGTGGGTGGTGAGTAATTTCACTGCATGTAAGGGTATTATCAAACAGGCCATGGGCCAAATGATAAACATAATTGGTTTCCCAGTCCTACACTAATGCATTGCTATTTTAAATCCAAGTCTGCTCAATCTTCTCCATGTTCCTATCAGCAGCCATCAGGACCTTGGACAGTTCCGTAAAGAAATTCAGACATAGCTTCAATTTTCCTGTGTAGTTTTAAAGCCTTCACACAAAAGAAAGTCACAAGAAGTAAACAGACAAATGTTTTTAGAGTTAGTTTGTAATGCTCGATTCAATTGGAAAAAGTAAGTCGACAGGAATGATGAAGGTCAAGCTGAGGTCTGAAGAAAACAGAACATTTTGAGAAAACGCCTTGATGGATTGCTAGAGAAGCAAACTGTAGCTCACATTAAACTGCAAAAAGCCTTCAAGAAAAATAAGCAGAAGTTGACATTGCAGTGAACTTTTCTCTGAGTAGAACGCCTCACATGTGGAGAGAAAAACTTGCTCGGTCTCACAATTTCAGCAATAATTTTAGACAGAAGGATTTTGTGCAAAATGGAATTGTGCCTAAAATTTAAGGAAAAAATGTAAACTATAAATTATGTGACCCCTTTGTGAAACTATAGGCAAACAGTTAAATTATGCAAATTTGGAGAGAAGACATTTTTATGTTTGACACATTTAGTTAACCAACAACTAAACAAAAATTGTATTTCTGTCAAAAGTGTGTAGAAGAACATAAGATGACTTCTGCAACTGAAAAACTCCTAAAACAAATATCAAAGTCCAAAATGGAGCTCCTTTTGAAGCGTAAGCTCAGGGTTTGGCCTTGGCCCTCACAACACCCTGACCTAAACATAATTGAAAATCAATGAGCAGACTTCAAAAGAGCAGTGCAAGCAAGATGGCACCACAGTACCACAGGACTGCAAGCATTTTTGCGAGAATAACAATAAGAAGTAAAGACCAAAATTGAAATTTAGTGTCTACATATCTTGGCACTTTTGTTGAAATGGTTCTGCAAATTACAGAGGTGACAGAGTTAAATTGTTTTTGTTTTGTTATTTGGAATCCATATAAAATAATTATAAAGAGTGACGAGATGTCTTTTACTTGGTTTTCAATAAAAATCAAGTCAGTTTTTAACTTATTAGTCGGGTTTATTTGTCGAAAAGAAATTGGTTCCCCGGCACGTATGACAGGGATATGTGCAAATCACAGATTCAGAGACAACAAAAACGTTTCCTCAGAAATGAATGCACTCATAACTAATATCCTGAAAATTCTTCTGCAAGTTTGTACATTCTGTTTACACTTCCTCCTCATTCTTTCACGTCCCGCTTTCAGATTTTGTGCTTTTAGAATGCAGCATGTCACCAGCTGACCATTTCTCCTTGGTTGTCTGAGTTCATCTCTACTTTTTGTTTCCTCTGCTAACAACTTCCTACTACTTTATGCCTCTTTACCCATTTTCTGAGTTTTCACTACTGTTTTGACATCTGGCATTTTTTCTACATTAAATTTTCCACTATCTTTCATTGACAATTTTCATAAATCCCATTATATTTCAGTATGTCATGGCTTATTTTTTATACACTGCAGCTGCATGTAACACAGCTGTCAGATTTGTTTCTTTGAAAGACATTGGTGTTTTATAATGGTCCTTCACAGGATTAAAACTGTAAAGCTCTTTAAGCTGAACTCTAAGATATCGTTTTGTGTAGGGAAACTCATCCAGTTTAATGATTCTGGACTTCGGTGGTGTTAGACCTAAATGAATTTCTCAGCACTTCTTACTGGTCAGTGATGAGAATCGAATGTTTATAAACAAGTAAGCCACATTTAGCTGTGTAAACTCAATTATCTGAGGTAACTGTGATCATGCCGGCAGAGTGCTCATATTCATCTTTATTGGCTCCTTTAAACATGCAGGGATAAACTGACAGAAAATCAAATTGTAAATTTTTTCTATTCTTTTCGAGTGGTTGATGGATGTTTATCCTCTGCTTATAGTCTTTTTACAACCCTTTGAGTTGCCCGTAAAAAAACAAAAACATATTTTTTTTTATTTCTCTTATATGTTTGTAAATACAGCACCTTGTGAAAGTATTTTTTTCTTTAACTTTACCACATTTATCATATTGCAACAATAAAAACTTGTTTAATTAAGATTTTGCAGGATTAACCAAAACAATTTAGAACATAACCATGAAATAAAAGAATAGGACAACATGATTTTCATATGTATTTACAAATGAATATTAGCTAAATATGACATGTTGTTTTGTATTTAGCTGCAGCTACCTTCCCATCAAATCTGACCCGTTTTCCTGAAAGGCTTGGTATGTTCAGTGTGCCATTAATTCATCCTCTATATGTAAAGTTTTACATGTAGGCCAGAATTTTCAACACATAAGATCTAGATTTATGGTAAGAATACATTACTTATTGATTTAATAATTAGGTGGCATCTGAAAATAATGTGTTACCCCAGAGCCTGAATACAAATTCACAGATTTTTATCTGTGAAAAAAGAAATTATTTGTTTCTTTCATTAATATCTGTTGGTTTGTCACATACATTGACAACAGAAATGCATTTTTTGTATTTGTATTGTGACAAAAGGGATATCCATATCTTTCTAAGGTTGTTGCTGTTATGTGAAATACCAAAATTACAGATTATTGCTGTATCCACAGTTCCTATATCTGCAGCAAAACTGTGTAATTTAGCTTTGATGTGATTCAGGTTTGTAACATTGTTACAGTGCTCTTCATGTCTACAAGCCATATTAGCCTTTGTGGAAAGTGTTAGCATTCAAACAGTTGCTTTAGATATGCACCGCCACTGGCAATTTGTTGAGTGATCTATAGCCAAAACATTAGCTTGCAATTTCTCCACAATGCAGGCACAGATTAAAAAGAAAAACTGTCACTCCCAGAGC